ACAATTAAGGGCAAAATTCAGAACAGTACATAGAGTTTTCTACAAGGAATAACAAGGAGTTATTAACAGTGGTTTTCTTTGGAGAGGATATTGTGGGGAGGGGAGTAGAGGGGAAAGTAGACAGTCTTACAGCATTTGCTTTGCATTTTCCTATGCTAGTTACATTTATCTGTGTATCTTTTAACTTCAATATAACTACTTTATATTTATCCACATTAACAAGCTCTATTATGTAGCATATATTTAGTCCTAAGAAAATAATTATTAAGATACATATAGTGACTTACAAACCCCACAAACCTGTATATGTATGCTGCATATACACATTTGTTTCTGAACAATCATTAATTGTAATGTTTATGGTCTCTACTGGCTTTACTGATTCTTCCCATAGTCACACATAATTTAGTTTATGCTCACATAGGCAGTGAGAGAGAGAGAGGACAGAGAGACAAGGAAAGAGATTAAACATTACAAATATTTTACTATGCTTTGTTTTTTATTTTTCTTTCTTTTTTAAAATTACTTTTCTCAGTAGAAGAAATGAAAGGGAATATAGTCCACAAAGATGGGAGAAATTAGAGTCTTTCAGTTCATGATATGTATTAGAAAGATTACCTTTATTAAGTGGGATTTGAAAGAAATTGAATCCTCAAAACAGAATGCCATCAGGAAGTGGAAGGTGAGGGTGGTTTGGAGCTCATGGGTAAACTTCTAGTAACAGTGAGTGTTAGCAATAGAATTCCTACATTAAATAAGAAACATGACTGTGGGTGTTTAAAAGGAAAACTTTGTGATATATCAGGAAGGTTCAAGATTCAATCATGGATGAGACTACAGACAAGTTCCTTAAAAAGAAGACAATCAAAAAAAAAAAGAAAAAAGCACTTGGACCATATTTTAAAATGTTAGTCAACAGATGTATTAAGTATTTATTAAAGCATTTAATCTGTGTTAGGTATTTAAGACACTTACATGAGGTGTGTTACTATACATGGTCACAAGTCTGTGAAGAAAACTATTGAGAAATCTTTGTCATAATGAGTGATATATACTCAAAACTTTGGGAATAAAGAATACCACTAAATTCTTTACATACAGTGCACAGAAGGTATATGAACTTACCTTAAAAAATTAGTATCTCTAAGGCCTGCAACACTTGACTGGTACCTAACTGAATGTATTATCTAAGTAAGATTACTAGTCTCAGCCCAGATATGATATGAAAAAAGGAATATTGCCCAAAGCAAAAAACCAACAATACCATCCTAACTGTTCAGGAAAGAGATAATTTTGGCCCCGAAATAGGAGCAGCCTGGCCCATTTAGCAGCATCTAGCTGTGGAAATGGATGCATCAGACTTCCTTATCCTAATACCACAAAATACTAAAATTGTGTAAATTCCCTTAACTCATTTGGATCTCACATTCATCAAGCTTCCTCCTAATTTTAACTTGGCCTCTCATATATCTTTTCAGGGAAAGAATCTGTTAGTCAGAAAACATAATTGTACAATCCTTGCAGATTTTATAATTCTTATTATGAAGTAATACATAAGTATTTTGGTTCATGTACCAGCCTTTGGAATCTTATTTAGTTGAGGTCATCCTTGAGCAATAAATCCATTCCTGCTGTAATTAAAAAAAAAAGTCAGACTTCTGATACTCTAAAATGAGAGTTGAAGGCGTTGTATGGCTAAGGAGAAAAAACTGAAAGATACTGAATTCATCAAAATTAGGATTACATCCTATCATAAGGCCTCTGAGCATCCTGCCACAGTCCTGGTGGATTCCACTTTGTTAGCCTGTATCGTGTGTCCTCTGCTATCTGGAACCTCTATATAGTTAAACTCAAGAAACATAATAATATGTCCTAATTCATAGTAAAGACCAAGTTATAGAGTTCAAAATAGGATTTTTATAGTAATTATGGGGAAAAAAGAAAACTCTGAATAGAGAAATACAGAAAAATCTAGTGAGACAGATGAATCTGAAACCTAAAGTTGACAAAAGGGTAATATTTGACCATGTAGAAAAATTAAGTTTATGAAAGTTATTCCAGGCAAAGAAGTAACCTGGGAACAAAAGTCTGAAGGTAAAGGAATAAGCAAATGATGAAGTATAGCATTAATATTCACAAAGATTAATAAGTTCATGCTTATTTTTAGTAATCATCAGTTATTTATGTAGATTCTATAATACAGTGCTCAACTGTTTTTATCTATTTGTATTTATATCACATCTTATTTTGTAAGATTCTCAAAGCACATTTACAACATTGTAATTGTAACCAAGAAACTTAAGAGAGTTGCTTTAATGTTAGCAATAACCTTAATTTGAGGACAAGGAATTGTTCAGAATTGAGCAGAATATAACATTATGTTAAAATTTTTGAAAGGGTCTCTAAAGGCTTAGAACAAAATGATGAGTCTAAATACTCCCACATTTCAAAATGAAGTGCCAGACCACCTATGCTGGATCTGCAGATGAAGTGGTTAAAAATAGATTCTACAACCTTCAGGCTCCTTAACTAATAAAAATGTGTAAATGAAGAAGCCAGTGGAAAGAATTTCTTTGGAGAGAATTCTCAGTATGTATGCCTCCCTCACACCATCTCATACCTGGTGAGAGGGGTTTCATGGAGACATTCAGAAAGTCTAATAGGAGTCCCCTGAAGTTTAATGGACACAGCATGCTAGTATCGACCCCAAGACTGAAAATGGCCCCAAAGGAAAGCCATCAGCAAGATACTTTGCTACGATAGAATGGCAGTGAAATCTCTCCTCTCTCTCCTCCCTTCTGGGACTCCAATTGTGTGTATGTTAGACCATTTGCTATTGTCTCACAGGTCATTGAGGCTGTTCATTTATTTCCTATCAATTTATTCTTGTTTCAGATTGGATAGTCCTACTGTTGTATATTGAAGTCCATTGATCTTTTATTTTGCAGAGTCTCTAATCTGTGGTCACATCCAGTAAATGTTAAAAGTGAGCTGTATTTTTCATCTCTATAAATTCTAGTTGGTTTATTTTATGATAGCTTCTATTTCTTACTTCATATGTTCAACTTTTCTTTCAAGTCAATGAGTACATTTATAAGACATTTTTAAAAGTTCTTTATAGGATTTTTAAGGCAGTGAACATACTCTGTGTAATACAATAAGGATGGATACATGTCATATATGTCTGTCCAAACCAAATACTATAAATACCAAGAGTGAATCCTACTGTAAATTTGGGTGGTTATGATGTATCAATGCAGGTTTTTCAATTGTTAAGACCTCCTCTGTCAGAGGATGTTGACAATGGGAGAGGCTGTGCATGTGTAGGGACAGGGTTATATGGGGAATCTCTATACCTTCCTCTCAATTTTATTGTAAATCTAAAACTGCTCTTAAAAAATTAAGTCTTTTAAAATGTATTTTATAAGTCACATCCTTAATAAACTGAAGAAAAAAGAGGTCCTGTCATAATTGCATTATTTTAATCATTTCTAGGTTGGTGATATTTGACTCCATTGCAATCCTATCTTTCAACCCTCTCTTCCCTTGGCCTCCAGGATACCAGGATTCCTTCTGTTTCACTCCACTAAGAACCCACACAGCAGGATATCTCTGAAAGTAGTATGTCTATGACTCCCACTTACACCCCTGCCCGTGCCATGTCACCATTAGATGCCAAATAGATGTCCCAAACTTAACTTGTTCCATACTGAACCTGATCTTTTCCCCAAAACTGTACCCCCATACTTCACACCACATCTCCCGATAGCCTAGAATACTTTTCACAGATACCCACACAGTACACTGTCTCACCTTCTTCAGACCTTTGTTCAAATGGCACTTTCTCAGTGAGGTCTACTCTAACCCCCCATTTAAAATTTGGCACCCCACACCTCCACATCTGGTGCTGTCAAGTCCCCTTATACTGCTTTGTTTTTCCAAGAGCACTTACCATGTTCTGAGACTTTATACACAGCAATGTATTTAGTCATCATGTTTATTGTTTAGAAGCTCGCATCCCCAGATAGAATATAAGCTTACTGAGGTGTTTTTGTCTGTTCTGTTAACTGATATATCTCAAATTTGGCACACAGTTAACATTTGATACACATTATTTGCATGAATGACATCTATTAGCATAAGTCAGTTATTTGGCAGTTGTACAGACATAGCATTAAGACATCCATTCCATCAATATAATCTATGATTTCAATCTATTATATTTCCTGAATATTTCTTAAGTATTTTATCTCAAATGTGATTTAAGTTCTTCAGTGGTACAAATTACACTTTAGAATTTTAGTCCCTTTGCTATTATTACAGCATTGCTTTGTACATAGTAACAAGCATAGGCTAAAGAAAAAGAATGTTTTCAATTTTATTTCAGTCTGGAGATCTGGTTTGTAATGCTGGCTATTTTAATGCAACTAGTGAGTTTAAATCAAACTCACTTTACTCCAAGTCATTTTAACTTTCCCTTACTAGAACCTTCTCTTGTTTGCTCTATTTATTCCCATTTTTCACCTGTTAACAAATCTTATTCTCCTCCTTCCCCGCATCATAGGCAACAATTTTAATGTGTTGCATTTATAAAATTTTATTTGTATATCTCTTTCTAAAACATGTGATGTTGTTTGGGGCATATTTATTTTTATCTTATATAAAATAAGCTATACTCACACAGCTCATTCTATTTTTTTCTTTTTTCACTCCACTATGTTTTTAAAATCTCTATTGCCATATACACAGCTGGTCCACAAAACAGTCCATTGTATTTATCCCTTGACCTATTATTCTTCAGCTAATAAAGGTGAATAATAACTTTTCTGCTTATTTTGTGATAATGAAATTTCTGCTTATTCATGTGATATTGAAGTTCCAATATGAAAATACTTGGAAAGCATTAAAAAATACCTAATATTGTGCAAAACATTGTAATAGTAGAGATAACAACAGGATCTTAAGAGATACAATGTAAGAGATAGTGAATGTGGGCTCACCATGTCCAAAAAGGGTCTTTGCCGGTTGGGGAAGCCATAGAGAACTGGTCATGTCTTGGAGACTTGCATGCTGATCTAGAAACCAGAATGCAAATGCATTTATTTAAATTGTCTTTCTGATAACCAGAATACTCATGTTTTAATCACTTTGTGATTAAAGTCACACATAATTTGCAATATAAGTAGAATTAATAACCAGAACTCTACTTTTAAATATAACTCAGGACAAAGGGATTTAGATGGTCAGTTGGATTAGGTAGTTGAGGGGCAAGGGACAGACAAGATTTATTTTACCCAAAATAAAATAAAAGTGTATATGATTCTTTTTGTAATCTCTTGTCCAACTGGTTAAGCTTATTTCTGCCTTGGACACTGTTAACATACATCGATCAATTATTGTCTTCATATCTTTTCAAAATATATATCCTGAAGAATAACTACTCTTAACACTATGCTTTGTTTACATTATTTCTTTAATATCCTTAAATAGCTATACACATTTTATACACAGTGTACCAAGTGTATATGTATGATTTTATTATTATAAATAATAAAGGATATTTAAGTGGGTAATCTTGTAAACCACCCACAAATTTAAAAATAAACATTGCACAGACCCTAAGAGACCTATAATTCCCTCTCTACTCTATATCTCTCCCTCTCTTAGGAAACCACTATCCTGAGATTTTATGCAGATGCTTTCTTTTCCTTTTTTTTAAGTTTTACCAAATCTTTTCCTTTGCTTGCTATTGTATTTCAGTTCTTGAACTTATAAATAGAATTTTAGTTCATGAACTTATAAATAGAATCATACTGTATATATTTTTTGATAGCACATTTTTTTCTTTCACTATGGGAAATTTTCAGTGGTGATACATGCAGCAACAATTCATTTATTGTCAGTGTTGTACAGCTTTCACATGTATGAATAGATCATCTTACTATTGACATCTTATTAGTGTACATCCTATTATTGACAGAAATTGTGTTCATCTCAGTTTCTTACTGTTACAAAAAATGTTGCTGTGTTCATTAGTCACAGGTCTCTTAACTAATGTGCAAGAATTTCTGAGCTGTATTACTTGGCCTTGAATTCTAGGTCACAGCACATGTGCATCATCAACCTTGTTAGATACTGTCAGGCAATTTCCCGAAGTGTTTGTGCCAATTTACATTCCCAGTAGCAATGTGTGAGAATCCCCTTTGCTACACAGCCTTCCTCACTGTGCACATTACTTATTCATGCAATCCACATGATTAGGTGATTGCTTCTCTCAGATAATCATATTTTCAATTCTAACTCTCTTAGACTACAGTGCTTCTGCTGATCCTCTCTTCCGAATTAAAAGCTACTCTATCTCCCAAGGCAGCTCTTTCCAGGGGCAATTCACACCTATTATTTGCTGAAAAATAGCTCTTAGTTTATCTCATGAGAGAGGATGTTACAGCACGGTTTCTTGACTTCATCACTACTGACATTTTGGACTGGATGATTCTTTATTGAGATGAAATGTCCCAGGCCCTTTGGGATGTTTGGCAGCATCTCAACCCATTAGATGCTAGTAAAATGTCCTTCCTTCAGATGTGAGAACCAAAAATTGCTCCAAGTATTTCCAAATGCCTCCCTGGGGAAAAAATAGTCCCCAGCTGAGAACCACGGTGTTACAGTATCACTCCATGTCCTGACAGTGGAATTTAGGCTAAAATGGTTGTAGTAAAATCAGTGACTTGATAAACACGGCAGTCTTTAAACACACATGCACAAACTTCTTCCTGGATGCAAACCTGAGGTTCAGATGAGTACCTACAGATAACATGTTCAAGACAAATGAGATGAGAGGTGTCATTTCAGGGAGCTTTGGTTTATGTTATTGCCTTTGTTTGGTTGGTTGTTTTGAGAAAGTGCAAGAAATATTTTACCTGTCAACATTTTCTGTCAGGGAACGAAAGCAGTTAAAGATGGTAAGCCCCGCGTTTCCCTAACAAAGCCATTACACAGAGAAGCAAAGGTGTGCTTGAGATAGAGTTAACTTCTGGGAAGATGGAATACATACACTTTCTTCTATTTTTCCTGCAAAGTACAACTGAAAACTCTGTATTTAAAACAAGAAGACTCTCTGAAAGGTGGGGAGAAAATAGGCCAAAGATCTCCGGACCCAATAAATGACACAGTTGTGACTTCTAAGGGTTTTCTCTCAGCCTCTTATGTCTCAGACTTAGAGTCATGGGAGCCAACAATCTGGAAATGCCAACAGGTGCAAAGAAAAAAGTACCAAAGAGAGAAGGCCTGCACTCCTTTGTCCAGGGACTAGGACAGGGGCCACCTAGAGAGACAGAAAATATGTAGAAAATAATCATACTACTTTAGCCAAGATCTCAAACTTAATGAAAAAGGACAACAATAAATGCCACCACTTAGATGGCAGAGATGTTTACCACAATGGTAAACATGCTTTAAAGAGCAATTACAAAAACTCTTAAAACAAATGAAGATACAGAATGTCTCAGAAAAGATATAGAACTATAAAAAGGAATGTTAAAATTAAATTAAATGGAAAGCATCCTTAAAAATCTCCCAAGCAGGTAAAACCAGTTAAGCCATGTAAACAAAACTAAATCTATCTTATATCATAAACACAAGCAAAATGTAATGGGTTATTTCTTATAATGCCTCTGATAATCATTAAAAAACATAAGCCATTTTCCTAAGAAAGGTATAACATTATCACTGTTAATCAATCCTATGCTGCCCAGAAACCCATATTGTAATAACCAATCATTGTAAAGGTTAAGCCATGTCCTCACATTCATTTTATAAGTCATCCTGAAACATAGAGACTCTAACTTCACACCAGTTTTTGGTTTGAAAGCTCCCAGTTGATGAATTGTTCTTTATATGCACAATAAACTCTTACTAAATATTATTTTACTGATCTGATTTTCATTTTTACTGTTTCCGAACTTTTTCAAGAATTATTTGGAAAATTTCAAACTTAAAAATACAACAGCCAAAAAAAAAAAAATACAATAGCCAAAATTTAAGTTTTAATGAATGAACTCAACTAAGAATATAGGTGAAAGGAAAGAATTAGTAAACTGCATGATAGAATGACAAAATTATACAATCTGAACAATAGGGAAAAGATAGACTCAAAGAAATAAGCAAAGAAAATGTTCTCAGGGACACATGGACCTATAACAAAAGATGTAACATTTACGGCAGTGGAGTTGCAGAAGGAAAGGGGAAATAGGGCAGGTCTGAAAAACTACGTAAAGAAATTGGCACTAAATCTTCCCAAGTTTGTTAAGAACCATAGCCTACAGATTCATGAAGCTGAGCAAAATCTAAACAGGATAAATCCAAAGAAACCCATGCCTTGACGTACTGTAATTAAAAAAAAAAAAAAAACGTTGAAAGCAGTCAGAGAAAAAAATAAGTGGAAAAACAATTAGAGTGGTAGTGGTCTCTTACCAGAAACCATGGAAGACAGAAAAAGTGACAACAAATATTTTTTAGATGCTGAAAGAAAATAATTGTTCATACCAAGTACTATATCCAGTGAAAATAGCCCCTTCAGAAATGAAGCAGAATTTAAGACATTCTCAAATGAAGATAATGGAGAGAATTTGTCACTGGTTGACCTGACCTAAAAGAATAGATAAAGGGAGTTATCTAGACAAAATAAGGACATGGGAACATCAGGAAGGAAGGAAGAAGAGGATATGCAAAAAAAGAGTAATTATAATAGACTTTTCTTTTTTTTTTTTGAGTTTTCTAAATAGTTTGATGTGGAAACAAAAATTATAACAGTGTGAGGAGTTTCAAATGTTTGTAGAGAAAATATTTAAGACAATTGTGTTTTAGTGGGAGAATTATAAAGAGACATTAAGGAAGCTATGTTAACTATAGATACTCAAACTGGTAAAATGATTTAGATATCAGTATAACTTAACCAGCCACTTTAAAAGCCAGACAAAGGGATACTGAAGATCTTTAAAACATTATAAATAAGTCAAAACTAAATTCTATTAAAGTTTAACCAATAGTAAGTCAGAAAAAAACAGAAATGAAAAAATAGAGAGCAGAAAGCATAACATAAAATGGCACTTAAGTCCTAGCATATTGACAACTATATTAAACAGAAATTATCTAAACACACCAATTTAAAGACAGAAGCTAGCAGAGTGAACTAAAAAGCAAGACCAAACTATATGCTGTCTACAGGAAGCGTGCTTCAACTACAATAGGCAAACTGAATGAAAAAGGATGGGAAAATATTCATCATGCAAACATTAAATCAAAGAAAATCAGAACTGGCTGAATTATTATGAGATCAAGTAGACTTTAGAGCAAAAAAAAAATCCCAAGGAAAGAAGAGGCATTATATAATGAAAAAAAGGGTCAACCACCAGCAAGATTTAGCAATCTTATATATGCAGGTATATCAACAGAGCTGCAAAATACTGGAAGCAAAAATAAAAACATTGAAAGGAAAAACAGACAAATCCACAATTATAGTTGGAGAGTTCAACAACTGGACACGAAGTGAGCAAGATACAGAATATCTTAGATATAGGATATAGAAAACTAAAAACCATCATGAATAAATAGAATCCAATGAACATTTATAGACTATTCCACTCATCAATAACAAACTATATACTTTCATTAAGTGCTCATGGAACATATGCATATACATATTATTTATTTATTTATATCTATCTACCTATATTTCATATTCCAGGCTACAAAACAAACTACAACATTTAAAAAGAACTGAAATTATGCGGTGTGTTCTTTGACCACATGGAATTAAATTTGAAATCGGTAAAATAAAGATGATAGGAAAACCTACCAAGACTTGAAAACTAAGTAATACATTTCTGAATGACTCGTAGATCAAAGAGGAGATCTCAAGGGAAATAAAAAAAATACATTGAACTGAATGAAAGTGAAAATGTGACTTATCAAAATGTATAAGGCACAGCTAAAGCTAGCCTGAGAGTAAGTACATGCATTTGAAAAGAAGAAAAGTCTGAAATAAATAATCTAAGCTTCTACCACAAGATCTTAA